TACTCTCAGCACACGGGAGTTCTTTCTAAGCTTTCTTTGATTGTTCAGTATCTTTGTATGGATTCATGAGTTAACTTTATTATAATTCAATTTGCCATTTTATATTTTATTGAATGTATCTCAAATTAATTAGTTTTATGAATGTTGAATCAAAATAAAGTTTTTGGGGTTAAAAATAATGTTGAACACCATTGTGTTTCATTATTGCCGCTATTGTAGTCATACAGTAGACGTTCTGCTCGAATTAAGATATATTAATCACTAGTGATGTGAGATGTTTTAGTATTTTGTGTATGGTAATCCTTTTCTTTGTATTACATAATCATAATTTCACTCATTCTTTCAAATGCATGGAATTCACAATAGTGTCTTTTTAATACTGATATTGTCAGGAATGATTTCATATTGTTGGATAGCGCCCTCTGTGTAAAGTTTTTTTCATCTAGCTCACCACTACAATAACATTTATTTTGTTCAACATTGATGAAGGCTTGGAAAGTACTAGTATACATGCCAGTGTTTTTACAATTAATATATAGAAAGGGTAATTCTTGGCTGTTTTCAATCACAATGGAATCTTTCTTCAAGCCAAACTCATTTATACAAATTAGATAATTAAAATATTATAACCTATAATTAAATGAAATATTTAAAGTGTAATTTGTGTGGGTGAATGCAAATGTGTGTCACCCTTTGACCACTCAATTTTTTGTGTGATTAGAAGCGTTTTTAATCTGCCAATTGATGTCTCGGAAATAACATTCATTGCCCACGCAATAATGACATGTGGTTGGTAGACCTTGCCTTTTCTTTTAAGGATTTCCCCATGACTACACGGGCTAGCTTGTATACATTAACCTTCTTGTATGTGTTGCGAATATTTTAAATTATCATGCCATCAACACAATATTTTTTGTTGGCTAATGTGGGTTAATATTTAAAACATTTTTGTATTGACCTAAATTTGAACAGTTTATACTCAAATATTTATACAAATAGTATAAAATAAATAAGTCTGGTTTAAATATTCAATTTATTTGACCTTTGAACGTCTGAATAAAGGAAAAAATGAATTTCATGTTTGAAACAAAATATGAATGGTTTAATTTAAAAGATAATTAACTCAATTGTGTGAGTTGAAAAAAAACACAAGATGTATGATAGAGGCCCACATGGTTAGCCACCCACTCCTTAATTTGCATATCAATAGACTTTGTATTGCCGCTTTTATCTGTATCCAAGTCTAAACGAAAAACGGAAGGAATGGTAGATGAGGATTGATAGGTTGGCATGACAACAGCATCGCTAACACTTTTGTTCACCAAGATGGTAAATTAAATTTTGTTAGAATTTTGACACCCTTATCTCTTCACTATGAAACTGTTGTGGTTTCAATCTCTGAATATTTTTATGTAACGGATTGTTTTTTCTGTGAATCATGAATCATATCCTATTGTGTTTTTTTGGGTCGTATTTTTGGTATTTGAATCGTGGTAAGTATAATTCATTACATTTTGAGGCATTTTTGATTATTTTGGCAGCAGTGAGTTGAAAAATGGAAAGAGGACCATTTTTGAGGGCAGTGTATTTGGTATCTGTCAACTGTAAGAATACTCAATAGGCTGGAATTCATTATTTCAGTGGAAGATAATTTATTTTACTTAAGCATTTCTGCCTTCGGCTGGAAACTTTAAAAGCATGACATTTTTCTACATTTACAAGGCAGTGTTCATGTGGCCTATTGATGTTAATAATTGGGGTCTGTCTACTTGCATATATGTACTGTACTTGGGTGTACACATTCCATCACAACATATTATTGTCTGTGTGATTCCTGCAGTCCGGATTTGTCTTTTGTATTTCTTCTATGATTGATTCAAAAAAGAAAATCAAACATTTCATGAGCCTTGTCGATATTGGTTAACTTTCATCATTATTCATTTATTTATTTAATTTTTTTTTTTAAATGATCTTGAACCCTGTAAGCAATGTGAAATCAATTAACCCAAAGAGGACTGCATGCAAAACGCAGCACAATGCTGATTATTCGGGAGTAATAATTCTTCAGTTTTGCCCTAAATTAAAGATATGGCACTGGTACTGCAATGGATTGATATTTGTTTCTAGGGGTGAAGGGGTTATACAAATATCTGCTTGCCATATTCTCTCCTACTGTAAAATACTTTATTTTATCTGGAATTTTTGGTGTTTTGTATGGAATTTTGTTTCACTGAAAGTTGAATGAAAAATATAGTGAAAAAATTATATTCACTGGATTTTATGTTCACTGAATCATCCATTCAGCGTAAATTAATTCCAAGCGAAAAGAGGTATTTTACAGTATATTATATCGTTATTGCTGATAAAAATTGTCTATTTGTGTGGTTGAAAGCTATTTTCCTGACAGTCACAAGTATAAAGATTTAGATAATTGGTTATTGAAGTCCCATGTCTATCAGGAGATATTTACTGTGAAATTAGATGACAATATTTACTTATTCTGCCTACCTAAAATAAACAAGTTTCAAAGATTTATATATATAAAAATTAACTAATGGGAGAAATCAATAATTAGTTCACTGTTAAAAAAAAAAACAGACTTGTAATTTCACAAATTGACTAGTAGATCAACCACTGTACTATAGCACTTAAAACTGTCTGGTTGAGGTTTATAAAAATCTGTGATCCATTTTAAACCATAATGGATTGTATTTGCTTTATTAAAATCTCATCTCCAAGACAAATACATATATAAACCATATAATCACATTTGAATCCTGAATGCTAAAAATACTACTTATTTTGACAATAGAAACACCTCTGTATTATATACACCTTATTTCATATTGTTCACCAACATTTTTAAAAAAATGGAAAATAATTAATAAAATAAAGTTTATGAAAAATAAATAATTGAAAACATATTTAAAAAAAATAAAATAAAAAAAGCCCAAACTAGGATCTTATTTTAATCAGATTAAAAAAAACCAATTACTAAATATGTGGAAAATTTGCACACAAATTTTGGAGAGAAAAAACTCTGTTGCTAAGGAGTAAAGAAAATCTAGATCAATGTAGAAATGTAAAGCTGTTATCTATTGATTTGAAATGTGCTCATAGTAGATTGAGGTTATGTTGTTTTTCATTATATAGTTACATTTATTATTATTGCAGTACAACATATATTTACACCAACTGTCTGCAAATGTGTATTCCTTTGATGTTTTATTAAACTGTTGGAGCTTATGGCTTCACTTGGCTCTGACTATAATTATCATACCCATATTTTGTCTAAGTTACGATAGGATTTAACCTCCCACAGTAATAATCTATAAACATAATTTCTGTGTGATTTGATTCAATCCTTCCATTGCAAAACCCCACCAACAGGATATACTTAAATCTTTACAAATGTAATTTCAAAAAAACAAAAAAATTGTCAATATAGTAAAAGAGGAAACGCATCATTAGTTGCTGACGTCATAGCAACAACCTGCTGATGTCATCACTGTCGGCCATTTTTTTTATTAAGCATATTTTGCTTCTGCAGATTTATTTTGATGATTTTAATTTTACTCCTTTCAAAATAAATTTAAATTATTATATCAATCATATTGATATTGGATGTTTATATATTATTTTCATTTTCTGTTGATACAAAATTACGTTCATATTAATCAATCTGGAATCTTATTTCACATAATCAGTAAATTATTGAAAAACAATCAGTTCTATAAAGACCTTTCTATCAACCCAGTCTCTTCACAGATATTTTTTTATCAGTCAGGTAATACAAGGCAACAAATTGAAATATAATAAAAATAAAATCAATTAATGTGTTTACAAATAAACAAAAATTTAGATTAAAAGTAATCTCAGTTATCTGGTAATATTAGGAACAAATTGTTTCTGTATATTTGGAGCCTACAGGAATATTATAATTAATGATTAGAATTTTATTTCATTTTGATTATTATTTCTGTGTGCTCAGACTGACTAATACGTAGACCAGCAATTGTCACTTTAATGTATGCCAAGTAAACTGGACAGTTCTATTTATAGAAACTGTGCAATACTTGCCGTGAATACTAAATGATTGATGTGTATATATTTATGTAGAACTTAGAGTGAATGAGTGACGTCAGCAGGTATATACATGTATCGGTACGTCAGTGACATTGTAGTATTTTTATAGACTGTTCAATTCTTTGACATGGTGGTTAGTGTGTGTGTAGTCACAGCTAAAATGTCTAGTGGAATTTACTGGTAGCAAAATGTACAAAGTTTCTGTGAAGGTGAGGGTTTAAATTTATGAACTATACCATGCCATGAATTCATGTGGGTCCCACACTACTTTATGACATGTTATGTACACAACACTGTACAGTAGGTTACACACAACATGACGCGTACTATGCCATATTGAGCCACGCGATGCATATATTACCATGTCTCAACACCTAACCACACCTAACCTCGCTTCAACTCACCTCACCTCACCTCACCTCACTTTACCTCACCTCGCCTCACTACAGTATGCCACACCATACAACAAAGATGCACACCACATTATGTGCACATGCATCACTACGCAACATTACACCATATACTACATCACAGTATGCCATAGAGCAAACACCACACTATGCCATAGGGCAAACACCACATTATGCCACATGGCAAACACCACATTATGCCACAGGGCAAACACCACACTATGCCATAGGGCAAACACCACACTATGCCATAGGGCCAACACCACAATATGCCACATGGCAAACACCACATTATGCCACAGGGCAAACACCACACTATGCCACAGGGCAAATACCACACTATGCCACATGGCAAACACCACACTATGCCACAGGGCAAAGCCACACTATGCCACATGGCAAACACCACACTATGCCACATGGCAAACACCACACTATGCCATAGAGCAAACACCACACTATGCCACAGGGCAAACACCACACTATGCCACAGGGCAAACACCACACTATGCCACAGGGCAAACACCACACTATGCCACAGGGCAAACACCACACTATGCCACAGAGCAAACACCACACTATACCACAAGGCAAACACCACACTATGCCACAGGGCAAACACTACACTATACCACAGGGCAAACACCACACTATACCACAGGGCAAACACCACACTATGCCACAGGGCAAA